CACTCAAACTCTCCTCCTCACCGTGCATTAAGATGATATAGACACATGTCCTCTTCCAGGCAGATTTGTAACATTTTCTGTTGATTGGAAATTCTTAATTATTGCCCTGATGGTGGAAATGGACATTTTCATTGCTCTAGCTCTTTTCTTAAAGTCACTTTCTAATTTGTGAAGCTCAATTATCTTTTGCTGCACATCAGAAATATATTCTTTGGTTTTTCTCATTGTGATGGATGATTAAGGGAATTTGGCCTTTGTTTTCCCTCCTATTTATATTCCTGTGAATCAGGAAGCCATGGCTGGATAATTTTATGTTGATAATCACCCTGGTATGCTCAAAATTGTAAATATGAATGGGAATATACTTCACAGATATTTTACTCATAAGAATTTCTAGGGGTACCAATAATTGTGTCCAACGTGTATTTGAGAAAAACATTTATTTCATAATGAGATTTTCCCCCATTTTCAATTGTTTTAGTTAAATGAAAGGTTAGATATTTGTGAATAAAAAAATAAAAAATAAAAAGATCAAAATGATTAACAATGCAGATTTATTTTCACAGCCTTCTTTGATCATATTTACCACTGACCACAACTGTACTAACAAAGAAGCCTGTGAAAATAAATCAATATTGTTTATCCTTTTGATATTTCATTTTTTTAAATCAAACCTTTCAACAAGTAAAACAAGTGAAATTTGGGGGGGAAATCACATAATGAAATAAATGTTTTTCTCTAATACACGTTGGCCACAGTTACTGGCACCCCTAGAAATTCTTATGAGTAAAATATCTCTGAAGTATATTCCCAATTCATATTTACAATTTTCAGCACACCAGGGTGATTATGAACATGAAATATCCAGCCATGGCTTCCTGTTTCACAGGACTATATGAGGTCACACTACGGTCAAATTCAATTAATTATCCATCACGATGAGTAAAACCTAAGAATATAGTTCTGATATGCAGAAAAATATTGTTAAACTTCACAAATAGAAAGTGGCTGTAAGAAAACAACTAAAGCATTGAAAATTCCCATTTCCACCATCAGGGAAATAATTAAGACATTCCAATCAACAGGAAATGTTACAAATCTGTCTCTATCTTGTCTCAATGCAAGGCATTGTGTGTGTGTGTGGGGGGGTGTGTGTGTGTGTGTGTGCGTGCGTGCATGCGTGCGTGTGTGAGTGCGTGTGTGTACCTGTGTGCACATCCTGATTTTGCCAAGTCCTAGTTGTCCTGAAACCAATATTTTTTTATGATGACCTGGGACAACAACTGCCTCAGCCAATCAAAGTTTATGACGTCATCACTATGTGCCCCCTTTGGCAAAATCAGGATGCGTGTGTGTTACACTTAACTGTTATTCTGTTCTATAATAAAGTGTATGTAGATGGTAAACATTCTGCTGTCTTTCTCTATATTTCAAAGACATCCATCAAATCAATCGTCAGTTTTGCAAGAGCTCCAAAACTACAATTTCTTCCAGAATGATCCCAAATGATTATGACACAAAGATGAATCTACATTAATGTATCTTCCACTGTTTTATGACCCAACACTTCTGGTTACAAAAACAATGACAGTCACCCTCAGCAAGGAGCTCTGTGAGTTATGTCTGTTCTCTATAGTATGCTGACAATGTTGCACTAAAGCAATTACCAGTGTGTTATTGCATAAGGCCATTGGGGAGGGTTAGAAGATATGCAGTCATTGGATAAGATCGGGAACTAATGTGCTGGCTCCTCAGGCGACATTTACAAATGACTCTCTCTATCTTGTTCCCGCCATCTGCTAGGTGCTCTTCATAATGTTGCAACAGTTTTGTTACACAATCACGTCATATCACGTGTGAACCCATTTACAGCTCCTGTTCTAACTGTTCTAGGAAGTGCAGCTCGGGGTAAAGAAAGAGATCTCAGAAAGAGATGGAAAGTAAAAAAAAAAAAATACAAAATCTGGATGAAAAGATGAGGATGAGTAAGAGAAAGCAAATCTGAATGTATATCATAAAAAATACAGTAACAGGTATTAACAAAAATAAAATGTTTTCTAATATGCAACACTTAATTCTGGTCCTCAAATTGTATTAATTGTGGGGAATTTTTAGTGACTCTTTATGCAGGTTAGATCGATACATTTACATTTAAAAATTTAGCAAACATTTTTATCCAAAGCAACTTAAAATGAGGATACACCAGTAGGTTGGGACAAGTGACTGTCAAAATGAACAATTCACTGACTCATTAATTGAAGTGATTTGTATAAAATGTTGATTAGTTCAGGAACAAAACAAGTGACCTTTGTGAGTGAGTGACTGAATAATAACCTTAACCAATTTGTTAAAAATACTGATTCATTTAGGAAAAACATTATATTTACAACACAGAGGGTAAGCATTGCAGAAAATGATAAATTTCAATACTTATGGGATCAACCAGGAATCAGTATATAACTTTCTGTGTCAAAGATCAAGTCTAGACAAGAGGTATTCAGACATCATGCTATTATATATTTAGGATGCTTTTGCCCAATCTTTTTGTGAAGGAAGCAAATCCCAAATCTGTATGGTTACCTTATTCTGGGCTGTGTGGAAAGATGATCCAGTGGCTGTTTTTACTAACACATCCTGTTGTGTAAGCAGCGTCTCTCTCTCTCTCTCTCTCTCTCTCTCTCTCTC